TATACAATACGTTGGGCGCGAACGAGAAATGGACTGTCTTAAAACACTTTCCCATAATAACAAAAAAAAACTTACCTTAAAAAAAAGATACCATGGATAACACCTAAATTAAATTTCTTACGTGACAAGCTACAAATATTGAGCTTACTATCCACAGTTAACTCAAACCACAAAATGGAATACATTAAATATAAAAAACTTTATGATCAATTATTGCGTAGCAGTAAAAATGTGTATTACACTAATAGATTACAAAATGCTGCAAACACAAGCAAGGAAACATGGAAAATTGTAAATGAGCTAGTTACAAATCCTAAATCACAGAACATCAACAAAAATGTGTTTCCAAGAAAATACCTAAACAACAATAATTTAGTGAACGATTTCAACGACTATTTTATGCATGCGGCTGCTAATCTAGTATGTAATGCAAAATATCAGTGCCAGGGTAAATGTAATGTTTCCAATTTAATTCCTGTAAACTCTGATTCTATGTTTTAAAATCCAACAACTGAAGAAGAGATATACGCCATTGTATTAGCCTTAAAAAATAAAAATAGTAAAGGAATTGATGAAATACCGTTGAAAATAATCTTAAAGGTAGTTGACTGCTTAAGCCCTGTCTTAACTCACGTAATAAACTCTTCATTACATGAAGGAATCTTCCCCGATCAGTTAAAGAAGGCCCTAGTAATTCCAATTTATAAAGGAGGAGATTAAGAATGCTTACAGAATTACAGACCAATAAGTATATTACCCGCATTTGCCAAAATTTTCGAAAAAGTTATTTATAGACGTTTATTTGAGTTTTTTATAAAATGTAATCTGTTCAAAAACTTTCAACATGGATACTTGCCTACAAAAAGTACTTCTACAGCATTGGTAAAATTTTATCAACATATCATTAAATTACTGGAGAACAAATTATCTGCTTGCGCCGTCCTAATAGACTTATCAAAGGCGTTTGACAGTGTAAATCATTCCATATTATCTGACAAACTAAATCGTTATGGTGTACGGGGTATAGCACTTGATTTAATAAAATCGTACTTAACCAAAAGGGAACAAAAAGTGATAATCAGAACAGATGAGCAAAATTTTGAATCTAGCTCTACATATATTACCATGGGAATTCCACAGGGTAGCATCCTGGGCCCTCTCCTTTTTATTATTTACATCAATGATCTGGAAAGGGCCACGGAAAATTATAGTTCCAAAGTTTCAGTAACAGGCTATGCGGATGATACTCCACATACGATCGCACTCACTAAAACAACGGAAACACAACCTGTAGTGACTGCAATTCTTCAAAATATAAATAACTGGCTTCAGTGCAATCAATTAATCCTAAATTTACAAAAAAGTGAGTGTATTGGATTTAAAGCTAAAAACAATAATTTTATATTTCCTCCAAATATAAATTTCAATCAGGTTTCTATTAACTTTACAGAATCATGTAAGTTTCTTGGAATCCACTTCGACGCTCAGCTAAACTTTAAGGGGCACATTGACCAATTAGTTTCGAGATTATCAAGAGCAGCTTATGCCATCAAAATACTAAGCAAAAATGTATCGGTACAAACAACACTAAGTGCCTATTATGGTTATGTTTATTCCCTGCTGAATTATGGCATAATAATATGGGGAAATAGTCCATTCTTACAAAGTGTTTTCGTAATGCAAAAAAGAATAATACGTAACATCTTCCATATGAGGATGAGCGAATCATGTAGAACTACATTCAGGAATAATAAGTTACTGACAGTATGTGGAATATTTATACAGGGTGACTGCGAAATAAGTGCAAATATTTTAACCACGGCATCCCCCACCCTAGTAGAGCCGAAATATAGAAAAAACAAATTAAAAATCGAATGGGGCAAAACCCCCATGAACCACCCTCGATACGAAGGCACTGAGCCACCTTGTAAACAGAGTTGGAAAAACGTTCGAATAAAAACGACCTAAACACTTTCAGTTTCAATTAAAAGTAAAACCGACTTTTTGCTGCTTATCGTTCGTTCATTCATTTACTCATTCATCATTGTTAAAGGTCAATGTGAAAGTTTTTTGGTAATTTTGATTCTGATGGATGTTTGGTCCTTGTCACAACGATTTTAGATTGTTTATTGGAACAGAAATAAGAGCAACTTAGAATGCTACTACCTTTTTACAAGAAATGTTGAAAATGTTGTCCTTGACTAGCAATACAGGCGTCAGAGCGTTGCAAGAGGTGTGTTGATAGGTAAAAACCACTTTCACTCTTTGAAGCTCTTCGATAATTTCTGGACACTGTTGATTTCCACAAACGAACTGTTTCATCCAACCGATACACATTTATCGAAAACCGTCTCTTGCAATCGTATTTCTGGACGAGCATGTGGAGTTTGATCGGACAAAAAGTGAGTTACACAACGTGGACAATCAGCGGGCTCCAAACCCTTTACTTTGTCAACATGGTATGGATGTGGCCGTATTCTTTTAATGTAGGATGCACTACAAGCTGTGAAAATCCAACTTCTTCTTTCTGTCCTATCACGGCCACGATCGTGAGTTTGAAGTTGAAGGTACCATGATCTCTGAGTTTTTCTATCACTCATGCAAATGTTCGCCCACACCAATTACCATATCGACACAATCTGCATGGGAAAACTCCACCATAAACCGATTTCACCGACCGCTCGATGCTAACTGGCCCTTCTCGTGTTTTTCACGTTGGGATTAAAAAAGTGCCTGATAAAGTCACTTTTTTGGTTTTTAATCCGACTCGCTCTATTCCATTCATTGTAGTAATTATGTAGGTCACAAAACAGTCCAGCGGCGCGTACAACAAGTTACATTTAATTTCAAATAATTTTTTCTAGACACTGCTACTACTTAGGACCGTGAATTTTACCCAGTGACATAATCATACTGTGAGCTATTCCCCATTTTTTTAAAAAACAATCCGAAAGAATTTCAGTCTTGCTCTTTTCGCCATACTTACGAGACCAGAAATAAAAGTAACTTCTGCTTACCGGAACATAGACTCACGCTGTTTGAGAAGGGTGTGCATTATTCAGCTATGAGGTGTTATAATCACTTACCGTCAGCAATTAAAGAAATTGCTTCGGTGAAAATATTTAAAGGAGAGGTGTTCAAATATATTTGTGAAACTGAACCGTATAATCTGTCTGAATTTTTTGTTTAATTGTAGTTTGTTTATTTTGTTATGTTATTTTGTTATGTCATTTACAATGTAAATTTCATCTTTGACGTGTCTCGTTGTTCAGTTTACCTGAACAGGGGTTTGGGCGTAGCCAATTTGTCCACCCTACTCCCACCCGTTTTAGGCTAGTTTACCTAATTTTATTATTTCATGCTCTCGGGGAGTCGTCGAGAAATATCGAGAGGGTAAAGACGTGCCGACCCTAGAGACCGGCAATTTATATTATTTGTGCGTTATTAAATAAACCGTGTAATTAAAAGGTGATTTTTATTTCGCGCAAAACACTCGTGTTCTAATGTATTTGATCATTGTAGACAAATAAAACTTACTTACTACTTACTTACTTATTAAAACATACAAAACTACTCTCCATAAAACTTCAGGATATATCAGAAAAATTAAGCCTCTTGAGCTCGTTGATCGTAGTGTCAAATAGATCTACATATTGACTTGCATAATTACCTATCCTACACATCATCTGCAGTGGTGAGTATTTTAAAATTTCCGTACGCGGTGTCGTGTCTGTAGATATAGCAAAGATTTATATCTTGGACCATATGATCTGTATTTGATATGCAATTTTATCTGCGAAAGCAAGCTTGGACAATCAAAATTTGAATTTACCTAATAATTTAAACAGGAATATTACCTTAGCTATTTTACTTCTTTCAGTAAGACTCAGAACCGAAAATCTTTCTAAAAGTTTGAATTGAGAATATCCAATCGGAGGATATATTCCATCAGCTCTAAATAATAGATATTTGAGAAATCTACGGAGAACTCTTTCCAGGATGTCAACACGGTTTTTGTAATGAGGAAACCAAACAACGGACGCATATTCAAGTTTACTCCTGACAAACGCATTAAATATGTTTAATAAAGTCGATAAATTGAAAAATTCCCTTGCATTGCGAATTTATAGTTTATATGGATATATATCCATAAACTTTCAGTGCTGTGTTCACCTTCATCTCAACATGTTCCGAAAAGGATAATTGTTTATCAAATATAACGCCCAGGTATTTGCTGAAGTTAGATCTCCAATTTTTGAGTCAATTTCCTCTAAGGATTTTTTTCCAAAACGCTCACAAGAAACGTGACTTATTTTATTCACAAAATAAATCCCAATTTTTACTTATTTACTTGCGTTACTATCGGAGATTTTTACTATGACAAGTTTCACAGGCTTGATTTTAACATTTAATTTGACAACTAATTTAGATTGTCTTTATTCCGTGGTCATTCTAAACTAGAGTGAATGCAAAATTATAAAATGTTCTTCAAGAAATAGTCCTCCATATATCCCTCTTGCATGTCATCCTTGAATATTTTAACGAGTGCACGAAGTAAATATTCGCGTATTCGGCATCCACTCGAGATATAACTACGGAGTGAATGTCATGCACTTAGAAAGCATGAATAAACTTGTTTTAGCTTTAGAACGCAATGGAAACTTTGTTCACATTTTTTGTTGGAAATGTGATACAATAAAATAGCTTTTGTCAAGGTTTCTTTGTAACACATAATTTTGTGACTAAAAAATTTTACTAGAAACGCAGTTCACCACTGTAGTTAATATTTTCTTCTAAAACATACTATCCAATATAGTAATTCTCCGTAGCATGTTTTACAAAAAAAAAACTCTTCCACTACCTGCTTACTTTGCAAGTAAAAATCATCAAAACGTGTGAGAAACACTACGTCTTGCCAACTAAACAATAATCTTATCAGATACCGTCGTTTAAAGTATTAAATCCACTCAAAAATTTTACCATATCTATAAATACCCGGAAAGTGTTTTGTCGTTAGACCTGAATTTAAAGATTGGTCTGAAAATGTCGTCAAAAGTAGTAACTTTCTGTTTATTTTTGGTTCTAGTTAACCAAGTTTTGTCAGCTTCTGGTATGTTATTATTATATTTCCCTCTTATTCTCCCAACGTTTTGTTTTTCTTTTTAGATAAAGTTATCTGTTATTATGCTAGTTGGGGTGCCGGAAGACCTGGAAATGGCAAATTTACACCCGAAGACATAGATCCCACCATCTGTACACACATAAATTACGCTTTCATAGGACTGAATACTGACGGAACTCTACAAGTATTGGATGAAGAACTTGATATTAACCAAGGTATAGGATCATAAATCCTTAGTTTCCTTTTACATATATATTTAAATATTTACAGAAGGTTTTAATCGAGTCAGTGCTCTAAAACAACAAAACCCCAATTTGAAAGTTCTCTTCAGTGTGGGCGGAGCTGCCGCTGAGCCTTATATTTTTGCGTCTGTTTCTGGTGACCCCGCAAAAAGTGCAACGATGGCTCAAAGTGCTCTCGAAATGATTGAGAAGTATAATTTTGATGGTTTAGATGTTGACTGGGAGTATCCGTATGGAGGAAACGCAGAACAATTCGTTAACCTTCTTACCATCTTGAAAGAAGCTTTTCAACATAATGGCTACCTTATAACAGTTGCTGTTAACTCTATCCCCAGTGAAGTAGGTGGTTACGACATACCAGGAATGTCTGCGTAAGTTTTTCTTGCTTCTGAATTAACGTATAACACTTTTGCTTTAAAGAGTCTTAGATATCATAAATGTGATGACATACGATTTTCATAACTATATGGGAGGAGTAACAGCAGAGAATTCTCCTTTATATGGTGGAGTTAATGAAAGTCAGTGGCAAAAAGATAATCGTAATGCCGATGCTGCGATAAGACAGTGGATTGAAGGGGGCGCTGATCCTACGAAAGTAGCCATAGGGATAGCTTTTTATGGTCATCACTTTATCCTTTCGGATCCTTCTAGTCACGGTCTAGATGCCGTAATCAGCGGTCCTGGTGAAGCTGGGCCATATACAGATAACGTTGGCAGTTTAGGTTACAGCGAGGTACTAATTCGTGTGATAAGAAATTATATTTCTTATTAATGTTGCTTTTGTTATAGATTTGTGAACTACATCCCAATGGTAATGTAGTTTTTCTCGATGATATGAAAGTACCTTATATGTATGATGATACGTTTTGGATTGGATATGATAATGAAGAATCTGTGGCTGCTAAAGTAATCTTTGAAATTCAAAATGAGCTTTTACTTATTTTGTTTTGTGGTTTCTAGGTTCAGTATGCAAAAGAAAACAATTTAGCAGGTGTATTTATATGGTCTGTAGAAACTGATGATCTGCATGCTCTTTGTGGGGAGAAAAACGGTCTACTAAATTCGATAAAGAAAGCTATGGAAACCTAAACTGAAATTCTTTAAAATTGTACTGATTAGAACCATAATAAAGTGGATTTAAAATTAACGATTCTTATTTCTATAGTACTTTCTTAAACTTGATAGAAATTTTTATTATTATGTAAACATATTTTACCAAAAAGTAATCACTAACAGAAAAAGATATTAAAAAATTAAAAAATATATCGGTATACTATACATAATTTCTGAAAACCTCAAGATACTATAACCACTAGCACTTCTGTTTTAATATTCGACTATTAAGCGACAAAGACATGTAAAATCAAATAGAAGGTTCATCTTCTTGAAATGAAGTTCAAATTTCCCAGTGGTAAATGGCGTAGGATCGTTCATTTCGTAGTAAATTACCCAAGGTTAATAGCAAAAACTTATGAAAACCATAACTAAAATTATATGACTACAATTACGTAAACCCATATATATCCCTATTAACTAACTGACTCGAAAAAGAAAAAATCCAGCTTAAAAGTTATGTCGTTTGTAGTGAATGTCAAAATTTTCGCTGTAGTTGTAGCATTGATCTCCGATTCAATTTTGAACGTAAAACCGATTTAGTGCAAAATACAAGATTATATCCTTCTTCAGTACATCATTAAACTAATAGACGCGAAAAGATTAAAACATCATAAACCTGTTTATTATTAATATTATTATTTAAGACCCACCACTGACCCGGAAATGACCGGCATTCAGGCAAGACTTCTATCATTACGGGTACTAAGACCAAGTAATGATATGCATTGATTAGATTAATATAATATTAATAATATTAATATTATTATTAATATTAATATTATTATTAAATTCTGCGGTCGGGCAGAGACCGAAGTCTGTTATGACCGCGCTCGTGAGTAGTGAACTTTTACAATTACAAATCGCCTAATAACTTGGCCTATACATTATGTTTGTCGTACCGCTTTTTGAAGTCAAGGAGGGGTTGACTTGTAACGATATCGTCAGGGAGAGGGTTCCAATGATTAACAACTCTGTTGGTGAGAAATGTTCGTCGAGCAGTGGAAGTACACCTTTCCTTAATTAATTTGAAAGAATGTCCTCGTGTTATTTGATTTGAGTTTAAAACAAATAGGTGACAAATGGGTGATGATGGATTGTTTGCAGCCTGATAAGTTGTGATCAGGTCGCCCCTAATGCGCCGCTCAGATAGAGTTGTTAGTCGCATTAGTGAGAGCCGTTCATGGTATTGCGGTCTAATTCTACCGAAAGGGATTCTGCTGGTCGCCCTGCGCTGTACAGACTCCAACTGGTTAATATCTCGCTGCAAAACAGGTTATGACAGCTTGTTTTTAAAAAGATTACTTTTATTTAGTATATCTCAATTAATGGAGAGAATAAGGGCATTTTTCTGTTATTTTAATGATCCTGTACAGAAATCTGATTTAAATTTAATTTTATTTTACAGCAAACTGAACTATTGTACTGTATTGAGTGATCTTCTAGTGGCGTGATACAAATCTGATGGTTTGGCCACCTTTGGAGTCAAACGGTTTGTTCTTAGGTTGCTTTTTTAAGTAGGTAGATGAGAAGTAGACATACTAGAGAATAATAAAAGTGCGTGATCAACACGTGAAGTACGAACCTCCGTTCTTTTTGATTAGAAAATGAGCATCTTGCAGCTGTTGCTACACCATATTCTAAAACTGCAACTTAGCTCTCCTCGTGTACTATGACTTATTTTTGAAATTTGTTAGGCGATGGTGTGGGTATTTGTAGTATTTTCAGTTCTGGACTGTTTGATTCAGTTTAATTAAAGGTTTTATTTAATCACGACATTTTTTATAAAATTACAAGAACATAGTCAAAAATACTATGAATGCATACCAAAGTAATATATAATAATAATAAATATAATAAGTTATTACTGTTGGCACACAAGTTGGGGTATTAATTACTAAGTCGTTGTCACTTTATTCAGGGAGGCAACGAATAAGTCAAACTTTTGGTAGTAATTTTAGATACAGTTATAAGTATTTTGAATTTGGCGGATCTTCTTGCTTCTCTTAATAATTTAATTAGTACAAGTAAGTGCAAATCTGCATATTTAGAATAGGTAGGATTTGATGATTTTTTTACTGTAAATTAAATATATATTATTTGTGAGTATTCTCTGTGAAAAAATTTTATCACTAGTTGACGTTCACGCAATACTTACCGCAAAACTTAAGTAGCTTCATGTACACCACTCATAATAATTTTTAATGCGGTACTTATAATTCAGTACGTGTTCGTCTCTTAAAAAATGCTCTTAAAGAAATCTAGAGGTTTTTGTTTGATAATACTAAAACAAGTGTTTATGCCTTTCACCGCACTCACACTTAAAATGAAGTGTTTATACCTAGTATTTCTTTATCAATTGTGTCGTGTATAAATAATACTCTGTTAGATCCTATTTTAAACTTTGGCACTCAATCTACACATAATTAAACTTACCAACATGCTGTCAAAAATTATCTTCTTGCTTTCTTTTTGTATTTTTTACCTTCACTGTGTTTCAGGGGCAGCAGGTAAGTGACTTTACCTTTTAACCAGGTACTTAATCAGTTTTTGCTTCATCAGACAAAGTACTGTGTTACTATGCAAGCTGGGGTGCTAATCGGCCAGGAGATGGTCAGTTTACAGCTGAAGATATTAATGCCAATCTATGTACACACGTGAACTACGCTTTTCTTGGGTTGAACGACGATGGAAGCTTGAAGATCTTGGATAATGCCACTGACATCGAAAATGGCAATTTAAATAAACTTAGTTTTCCGTTATCCGATAATTTTTGTTTCTAGGAGGTTTAGAAAAAGTGGCTGCTCTTAAACAAATTAATCCCAACTTAAAGGCACTTTTTAGCTTGGGAGGATACGCTGCAGGAACTCAACTGTTTACTGCAGTTTCCTCTGACGCAACCAAAAGAGCTACAATGGCACAAAGTGCCATCGAATTTTGCCAGACATACAATTTTGATGGACTTGATGTCGACTGGGAGTACCCTCTTGAAGGAGATAGAGTAAACAAATTTTTAGCTACCCTTATATTTTTTAAATCATTTTGTTGCCTTAGCAAAACTACATCACCATGTTGTCAGATATAAAACAAGCTTTCGAACCTCACGGATACATTTTGACGGTCGCTGTAGCTGCCATTCCAACAGATGCTGCATACGATGTTCCAGCAATGTCAAAGTATGTAATACAATCTAAAATGCTTGGTCACTCTCTTAAACCATACACAGTGTCCTAGATGTCATTAATGTAATGACTTACGACTTCCACGGTTCTTGGGCAGGCGTAACTGCTCAAAATTCCCCTCTATATGCATCTCCTCTTGACGGTGAATGGCAAAAAGATAATTTGAACTGTAATTCGTCCATAACCCACTGGATATTGAGTGGAGCTGCTCCAGAAAAACTTGCCATTGGTGTTGCATTCTACGGGCATGCGTATACTCTTGCGGATGCTAGTAACCATGACCTTGGCGCACCATCGAATGGACCTGCCCCTGCGGGCGAATTTACGCAAAATATGGGTACATTGGGCTACAATGAAGTGAGAGTGGTCTTTATTGTAAAACAGTATTAGAACTATTTCTTTGTTTATAGCTTTGTGAGTTTCACAAGGATGGTACCATCGTTTGGGACGATGCACAGAAGGTTCCGTATATGTATGACGATACATTGTGGGTGGGATTTGATAACCCTGATTCTGTTGCACTTAAGGTAAGGTTTCGTTAATTGTTAACAAATAATATAATAATAAAAAATGTGTACTTTCAGGCACAGTATGCCAAAGATAATAACCTTGCTGGAGTTATGATTTGGTCCATAGAAACCGATGATTTACATGCACTGTGCGGAACTAAATACGCCCTATTGCAGGCTGTTAATGATAACATGAAGTAATTTTATAACACATTTTAACAAAAAATTAATAAATTGTACGTCGAATTTATGTTATTTTAATAAATTTTTAAATATCTAAAACATAGAACAATATATCCTGAATCAATGTCTGCTTTATGACACTCAAAACACCTCATGTTAAGACGGTCTAGGACAATTCGGCGCGGCCGACTTGGCGCGAGACATTTTGGCGCAAAACCAACTTGGCGCAGGGAGACTTTGGCGCAAGGCATCTTGGCGCGGGCCATTTTGGCGCGGATGAACTCGCACCAAGAAAAATAGATATAAATATACAAAAATTGCAGCCGTTGTTAGCATAACTTAATTTTTATAGTCACCAACGCGTGGAGGGGTAATGTGGACTTTTTAATGGACACACGGGCGCTTCGCGCCCTGCACCCTGTTATAAACATACTCCTAAAGGTGGAACTTCTTGCTCCGTGGATCATTTAGTTATTGGAATTTGTGCAAATGAAACTGTGTATTTGGTTGCCTACATTTAGCATAAATAACAGGGTGCTAACCACAGTCTGAACAATAAATATTTTTTATATTATATACCGACGTACTCGCGCCAAGATGACTCGCGCCAAGATGGCTTGCGCCAAAGTGTCCCTGCGCCAAGTTGGCTTTGCGCCAAAATGGCTCGCGCCAAGTCGGCCGCGCCAAGTCGCCCGCGCCAAGTCGCCCGCGCCAAATAGTCCCATTCCGGTTATTTCATACAACTTAAAACCCATTTACTATGTGCAATTTTAAAGTGACGTCATCACATTATTGGTGAGGACGATTAGACAAATTTTGGTTAGCGTTTTATCATATACATGATATTCCTAATATACACGTAAATACAAAATTTGACAACAATCGCCCCGTACTTTCATACGGAAATGGGAGACCTATTTCTTCATACTCTAAGGGTCATGGAAGGTCGAGAAAACATAAAAGTAGAGAGTCGGCCGATGGACTTAATTACAATACTTCCTTTGCTTACGCTCAGTAAGTAAAAAAACAACAAAATGCGAAGTTCTAACGAACAGAAATAAAAAAAAAACATTTGCCGACAAATAAATTCATTAAAACAAAATTGAATAAAAACTAAATGTTGCTTTAAAAAGACTGGTGTCGAAATAGATGTACAAATTAGATTTTTTCTAAAATTTATTGTACATAGCTTTGTAGCTAAAAGAATTATCTCTGTCAATTAATATTAAGTGACGATCAATTAATTTAGAATATGAATATATAATGAATATAATCAAGTTCCTATCTTCAAATAAAAATTAAGTAAAATATGGATACGTAGATCATTATAGCGAATTTAAAAATAAGACAGGATAAAAAAAACGACACTTAAGAAGTATACAATTGTGCATTTTTCAAATTACATTCAGTTAACGGCTTTTCACGTGATGTCAACAGGGGATAAAAAAAAATTTTTGATTACCGAATGACCACGTTCATTATACCCTTAAGGCATAATTATGCAAAATTTTGAGCAGTCGTTTTATAATTTCTGAAATTAATTGTCAAATCTTGTATAATTTTTATATATTTTTCAAAAAATGTACATATATCGTCTACTAAATATAAATACAACGATGTGATTTAAAAAACGGAATTTTTAACTTTCATTTGTTTTTATCTGCGACATACAACTTTTGTTTTTTAAATGACACCCTGAATTTTTTTTAAGATTCATGTAGAGATTTTCTCTAAATTGATGTATCATAGTGTACATAATACTTTAATATTTTCAAACATTAATAATAATTTAATACATCATATTTGCAATAAAAGGTCTTGAGTTAATAATGTTTTCGTATAGAAGTTTAATTTTCAAATTTAAAACTCCTATACATTAATAAGTGTTATAAACCGTGTTAAACTTGCTATGTAACAAAAATTTTGGTTCATTTTTCCATAACAGTTACCTCGCTATAAAAATTAAATTAATTTTTACCACAACTTTTTAACAAAATGATAAAGAATATATCTAGGATGTCATTTAGAAAACAAAATTTGAATGTTATAGGCAAAAAAAAGAAAGTTAAAAATCAGTTTTTCAATTAAGATCGCAGTACATTTAAAATGATTTAATTTGATCTATTCAAAAAAATAAGATAGCTACGGTGCGGGGCTTTTTTTTCGAACATATGGTATAATTAAACTAAAAAATATTATCTTTAATTATTTTTATTGAAAATAAGTCTGAATTATGTATGTGGTTAATTAGCATTTTACCCCCGTCTCAAGGATAACCCTAAACTGCATCTAGAATTTCAAAATAATCTGTATAGTATACAGCCTGACTGCAAAATATGTGCAAAAAAAATGGGGAATAGCTCACGATACGAGTATGTCACTGTATAAAATTCACGGTCCTAAGTGGTAGCAGTGTCGAGAAAAAATTATTTGAAATTACATATAAATTGTTACACACGCCGCTGGTAGTGTTTCTTGACCAACATCATTACTACAATGAATAGCACACAGCGACGAAGTTTAAGAACCAAAAAACTAATGCAAAAAGACGATAAGGACAGTCGTGTATCAGTTAGTTGCCGTAGCTGGGTGTGTTCGGTTGTGTTTGACAATGGTGAATTTTACAAATTCAGAGCGTGCCGACATGGTAATGCTGTATGGGGTGGCGGATGGGAACTCAAGCTGGGCCCGCGAATTGTGGATCGAACGCTTTCCAAATCGCGCGATTCCATGTGCGCGAACATTTACGTCAGTGGTACAGCATCTCCGAGATCATGGTACCTTCAACCTCAAACTCACGATCGTGGCCGTGATAGGATAGAAAGAAGAAGTTGGATTTTCACAGCTTCTAGTGCATCCTACATTAAAAGAATACGGCCACATCCATACCATGTTGACAAAGTACAGGGTTTGGAGCCCGCTGATTGTCCACATTGTGTAACTCACTTTTTGTCCGATGGAACTCCACATAGTCGTCAACAAGAACGATTTCAAGAGACGGTTTTCGGGAAACGTGTATTGGTTGGATGAAACAATTCGTTTGTGGAAATCAACAGTGTCCAGAAATTATCGAAGAGCTTCAACAAGTGAAAGTGGCAGCCGCTACTCCGGCGTTTTTTTACCTATCAACAAACCTCTTGCGACACTCTGACGCTTGTATTGCTAGTCAAGGACAAAATTTTCAACATTTCTTGTAAAAAGGTAGTAGCATTCTAAGTTGCTCTTATTTCTGTTCCAATAAACAATGTAAAATCGTTGTGACAAGGACCAAACATCCGTCAGAATCAAAATTACCAAAAAACTTTCACACTGACCTTTAACGATGAATGAGTAAATGAATGAACGAATGATAAGCAGCAAAAAGTCGGTTTTACTTTTAATGGAAACTGAAAGTGTTTAGGTCGTTTTTATTCGAACGTTTTTCCAACTCTGTTTACAAGGTGGTTCAGTGCCTTCGTATCGAGGGTGGTTCATGAGGGTTTTGCCCCATTCGATTTTTAATTTGTTTTTTCTATATTTCGGCTCTACTAGGGTGGGGGATGCCGTGGTTAAAATATTTGCACATATTTCGCAGTCACCCTGTATAATAATATTAATAATAATAATAATAATTTTATTGTATTCAACAGGTTTTACTCCAATAACAGAATACAAAATAGACAAAATAACTTAATATAACTTAATATAACCACATAACAAATTAGATTAAATTTTAATCAAATTAAATTAAATTAAGTGTATACAACAGCTAATATTACTACTTTAATTGCAACTTCTTCAAATCTTTAGGTCGACAATTGAACAAGTCTGTTGATCGTTAATTTTGTTCACATTATGGCATATGTTATAAATTGTTGAATGTTGTAGCAATGTAGTCCTAGGTGTCCTCAGGTAAATAATAAAAAGATAACGCTGCTAATACATCGACGTTCATCAAGTCGTATAGCAGAGAATCGCTTGAGTAAAGATTCTTGTGGGAACCCTCTGGGTGGATAATATTTGAAAATTCTGAAATTTAAATATTTGAAAAAGCGACCCTGTACATTTTCTATCATCTCCTGATAAGTTTTGAAATGTGGGAACCAAATTAAGGATGCATATTCGAGTTTGCTTCTCACATATGTTTAGTATAGCAACTTTAGTGTTGCTTCATTATGAATCATATTGCTGTTCCGGATTATATAACCTAGAATTTTGATTGCATCAGATGTAATTAATCTAACATGCTCCGTAAGTGATAACTTTGTGTCAAAGTTAACACCCAGGTCTTTCACTTGTGATAGACGACTTAAAATATGATCATTAAGCTTGTAATTGTAGTTTAAGAGATCGTTAACCAAGGTAAACACTTGTTATAGTTTAAGTAAAGATGGTTATTCTCACACCAAGTAATCAAGGAATCAAGATCCGTTTGCAATAAGTGACAATCATTGACATTAGTAATGCGAGTATATAATATTAAATCATCCGCATATAACAAAACAGAACAATTGAAATTACTGACTATATCGTTAATAAAAATGTTAAATAACAATGGACCCAGTACCGAGCCTTGTGGTACACCTGACGAAGCGATAAAGTTATAAGATCTGTAGTCGCAATTTTCTACAAAATAATTCCTTCTGGCTAGATAATTTTGAAAAAATTTACACACACTATTCTAAAAACCAAACTCAATAAGCTTACGACGTAAAATCCTATGGTTTAAAGAGTCAAAAGTCGGTGTATATAACATCCGTTTGGAATCCTTCGTACAGATTGATAGCAATATAATATGTAATAGTCATTAAATTGGTGACTGTGGAGCGTCCCTGAATAAATACGTGCTGATTATCAACTATGATGTTTTTAATTTGGTAGTAAATAATATCGAAAATTATCTGTTCAAATACTTTGGCAAAATTATTTAAGATTGCTATTGGTCGGTAATTGTTCTACAGCGGTCTTATCTCCTTTCTTATACCTATAACGGTATTATTTTCGAAGTTTTCCAACACTTGGGAAATGTCTGACTGTGAATGGCTAAATTAAACAGAAAAGTTAAGGGAGTGTAGAATACAGAA